GCAGTTCTGTCCACGTAGGTAATTCGGTATTACTCCAACTAAGTTGTTGTTCCCATCTCTTTATTGATTCATAGTCCATCTTTGATATTACTAAATAGTTAATAATCATATCCCATGTGTTCGTTTTCACACCGAGATTTTGCAATGTTTTTAAGCATACCGAGGTTGTGTCTACCAATTGTTTGATTGAACTCGATTTCTCCGTACATATAACCTTCTGTGTAAATAATGTTTTTAAAATTGCATAGCAATTTAACCGTTTATTATTATAACGTTTCACTAACTGGTTCCACGCCTCATCGTAGTTTGCGTCCGTAGTCGAAAAGTTGCGTATTAATAGTTCTGGATCACCCGATAAATTACTTTTCAGATAATGTAGTTTTTGCACCGGTGTTAAAGACATGTTGTTATGAATCAAGGAGCAAAATAAGTCATAAAAAGTTGTCCATTCTTCATATTTACCTCCAAACTTCGGTATTTGTATTGATGGTAATTTAATATCATTTAATAATCTCTGTTCGTCGCCACCCGCTATTGAGGTATGTGATAAAGGAGACTGTTTGGTTAAGTGTTGAAAGTCCTCCTTCATAGTGGACTTGTACTGAATATATAACTGATAAGTTTCCTTTAAAATAGGTACTTTCCTTTTCTTCGTTTTTAGATATTTTTAAAATTTAAACTTTTGTGTCCTTCCTTAAAATCCCGCCATAATTGTTCTAAACTTCTAATCTAGTTTCTATATATGGTATTTTTATTCTGTCTTTCGGTGATTTCCTATAATTCTTTTCTGCACTTTTTAATGTCTCCAACAACTTAAATTGATACTCAAAAAGTCCCTCCATCGTACACTATGACTTTGAGCGTAGTTCGTAATTATCCGATTACTCAGACCCACTGAAAAAACTGAACACAGCCCAACGTAATAGTACTTCACAGTATGGTGTATATATAACGTAATTTATTTCGTTTTTATAGGTTACATTCACTTTTATAATGTTATTATAACACTGTAATGAAACACTGATCACACAAAAATCCTTCCAACTATTCCTTATCGCTTAGGAATGCGAGTATCTATTGTTATCAATGTTCACCAATTATCGAACAATAGCGAAGTTATCCGGCTCGAAGGACCATATGTTAAGGAGTTATAGTTGAGAATTGATCACAAATTGATTGAGGGTCTTGAAATGAAAATTTGCAATAATAAGACGTGCGAAACGTGTGACACTTTTATTTTAACTGACAAAGAGTAGTGGACTGTATGTTTGGACACGTTACCTCTTTATACTGGAGCAATTCATATCCAAGCACAAGGATAGTTTAAATATTCATTTATATTATAATAGGCCTTAGCTGCTTGAGCTTTACTTTAATGTACGATTTAAATTTATTTATTGACATTTGTATTTCACTAGGAATCTTGTTGAATCAACAACAATAAACAACAAAGTCTAATTATCTAATTATCATTTGAGAATTACTACTTTTTACATTTGTAGTTACAAATTTAATACATTTTGTCTTCTTTTCGTTTAGCTTAGCTTTAGATTATTTGTATTAAACCAGTGAACTACACTGGAGATGGCACTGTTTACATTCTCAAGCGATAAATTTCGTCTATCTAGTGAAGATCTTTTACAAGAAATGGTAGGTCATTTATATAGACGAGGAATAAGAAGGGACCAAGTATGGAGCCTTGCGATAAAATCAAAAAATCAAAATCAAAATACGTTTATTCAATTTAGATGCTTCTTAGAGCATGCTTATGAATGTCAACAACGTTTACAAAATTCACGAAAGAGCAAGACTACGCCATCCGTTCGCAAAACTACCAGGAGGCCTTGTTTTGAGAAGAACGGGCAAGAAACTCAGCAAGTTTGCCCTCCCTTTACATTACAATTATTCAAAGGAAAATGTCATAAACCACAACGTCATTAAAATTACATAAGTAAAAAAAAATAAAAAATCTGTTCTGTGATTTACCACATTCACCATTACACACATATTCATAACACTTCAAAGATAACAAATCAAATTATAAGAATATAATTAGAACTATTGCCAAGCGTTTTTATCTTCCAGGTAGTCATTGACTGTGTAGTAACCTTTACACATTAAGGTTTTTTTGATGTGTGTTTTGAATCTGTTTAAAGGCAGTTCCAATATTTCACTAGGAATCATGTTATAGCAGCGTATACTTAGGCCCATAAATGAAGTATTTATTTTCTGCAACCTGTAAGACGGCTGGAAAAGTTTTCCCTTATTTCTTGTATTCCTATTGTGAATGTCGCTGTTCTTTAAAAGAGAACTAATATTACTACACATAAAAGAATTCCATACGACATAACGCTGTGAAAGTAACTAAAATATACTATTCTGGCAGTTTCCTCGTCTCTGAGTTGCCTAATTTTCCTAATAGCGTATGCCGCAGAACTAAGCTTGTCAGAAAGTTTAGTGATATGCTGACTCCATTGAAGTTTTTGGTCTATTGTAATGCCCAGAAATACCGTAGAATCAACTAAATTTAGTTTTTCATTGTTCAGTTTAAGCTCTATAGTTGTAGTTTTAACATTAGGTAAAGTAAATCTTATGCATTTTGTTTTTGTGGCATTTAACTGTAAATTATTTGCAGAAAACCAGCACACTATTTTAGAAAGTGCATTGTTCACATCGTCAAAATTTGTCTTATATCTATTTACTTTAAAAATCAAGGACGTGTCATCAGCAAACAATACAATATCACATAATGGCTTTGAATAAGAAAGCAAATCGTTAATATATATAAGAAATAAAAATGGTCCTAATATTGATCCTTGAGGGACTCCCATTTTAATATGTGATCCCGAAGATTTAGTTCCATTTATATCAACTTTATGAGTTCGACAACTTAGGTAAGAGGTTATTAAGTTAAGAGCTACATTTTTTATACCATAGTGGTCAAGTTTGCAAAGCAGAGTCTCATGATCAACACAATCAAACGCCTTGGACAAATCGCAGAAAACTCCCAGTACATTTTGAGTTTTCTCCAATCAAATATATGTCGTAACAGAGCTATTCCAGCATCGGTAGTGGAGCGACCTTTAGTAAAACCGTATTGTGCGTTGTGTAGAAGACTGTTTGTATTAAAGAATGTAATTAATTGTTCTAGTATAATTTTTTCAAAAACTTTACTTAAAGTTGGCAATATTGAGATGGATCTAAAATTAGTAGGATCTGTCCTGCATCCAGATTTAAATAAAGGTATTATTTTACTATGCTTCATTAAATCTGGAAAACTTCCTTCATCAATACAATTGTTAAAAATATACGCAAGATCTGGGGCAATAATATCTATAATGTCCTTAATAATACGTACAGAAACATCCCACAAGTCTCCAGAATGTTTTAATTTTAAAGATTTAAAAGTTTTAACTACATCACCAGCGCTAACATGCTTAAACTGAAAATTTATTTTGCATTCCGGTACGTGACTTTTAAGAAAACTAATAGCCTCTTTGGAAGAGGAGTTAAGAGAAGATGTAGTAATTACAGGTATGTTTGTAAAGAAATCTTCAAAAATATCAGCAATCTCTGAGCTTTCAACAATAATCTTATCATCTACCTTTAAAAAGAATGAATTATTACGGGATTTAAGGTTTCCTGTTTCTCGATTTATAACATTCCAAGTAGTTTTGATTTTATTACTTGAATTCTTAATTTTCTCACGTATATGCAATGCCTTTGTATATTTGCAAACTTTTCTAAAAGTTTTGGAATAATTTCTGACATATTCCATAAACACTGCGTTGTGATTATATTTTCTTAATGCATATAATTCATAAAGCCTATTTCTACTTTTGAAAATACCACTCGTGGCCCAGTCATCAAACTTGATTTTTTTTTTGTTGCACTTTACAGTCTTTAATGGGTAAATACTATCAAACTCATTTTGAATAACATTAAACAATCTTTTGTATTGACTCTCCGAATTATTTAGAACAGAGTAATCTATTGCACAAACCTTAGAATTAATATTTTGCCTAAAACTTTCGATGCGACTTTTTGTGATGGGGCGATACTTAACGATACACTCATAGTAACAGCTTGCACCCACACACTTACTCATTCACTAACATGCACCCACATACTCATACATTCAAGGGGTGTTGAAAACAATAATTGTGTCACACATAAATCGGCTTAGGCTAACGGCAGATGGTGGATGTGGAGATCTTCGCTCAATTTATTTGCGCAGAAGCAGGATCAAAAGACCGGGTAGCTTTGAAAAAGAAACTGCTCACGTTCGTCCAAATATATATATATATATTTATTTATTTCATATATACATTTTAATAAATATTTTTACTTTTCCATTTCAACAATAAAACTCTTAAAGACACAACATCGTTATACGTATCTTCGCCCGAGGATCGAATCCTCGTCCTCGCCAACAAGTCGATTTTGATCGATATACATTTTTAATATTCAACATTTCAATACAAAAGACGGGCGAAGTCGGCGGCCGTAGCTTTACAAAAATAACATCCGACGACGCCGCAGTTCTATTATATACATAAAAAACCGTCAGCACGGGTCGAGCCCCGAAGGGGACCGCCAGGGGCGCGGCGATTTATATTGCACTTCTCGAATTGCATCTTCGACGTTACACGTTATCTCTATATAAATATAATCTGCCACGTGACGAGCTAAACATTGGCAAAAACAGTCATCGCATTTCATCTATTTATCTATTTACAAAAGAAGGCGCCGACCGCCTTCGTCGGAGCGCGAGGCCGAGGGATCTCTTCGTACAAAAATAGCATTTGGCTCGAGAGGCCGAAGCCGACCACCTCCGGATGCGCGGCCCGAAGTGCTTCGAAACTTTCGACTCGACATTTCGGGTGGAGTCGGGCGGCCGCGAGGAATGTGAGGCTCTCGGGCGGGGCGGAGCGCCTCGCTCGGAGATGAGCTCCCGCGGCGGGGAGCCTCAGGGAGACAGCCGGGTCCGCGGCGTCGCCTCACTTGGCGTCGTCCTGCTCCATCGGCTCCTCGGACGCCGAGCGGGAGCTCCCGGAACGGCTCGGCGCCGCCGGCGCCGGTTGGTGCATGGACAGCGTCGCCATGGCGGCCGCCGTGTCCGCCGCGTCCCTCTCGGTCTGAAGCGAACCGAGACGCGCACCCGCCACGGCCGGCGCCGCCTCGAGCGCGCTCAGCGCGGCCAGGGGCAGTGAGCGCGCGACCGCGGGCCAGTGCGCCGCCTGCGCTGCCGCCACGGCCCGCAGCGCCGCGACGGCGTGGGGCGCCGGCGTCCGCGCCAGCTCGCTCAGTGGCGGCGCGGCGATACGCTCGCCGAGCAGCGCACGCACGCACTCCTGGGCGCAGTCGCACATGGCGGGCAGGTCGTAGCCGCCCTCGAGCGACAGCACCACCTTGCCGTTGGCCAGCTGCATCAGCTCGCGCGTCATGTGCGCGAAGCACGCGGCCGTCACGCTGTAGCCGCCCATGGGCGCCGGGTGGCCGGCGGCCGCGTCGAAGCCGCACGACACGAGCACGATCTCCGGGTCGTACTCCTTGGCGACGGGCATGACGACCGTCCGAAAGGCAGCCAGGTACTCGGCGTCGGCCAGCGGCGGCCGACCCGGCCACGGCACGTTCACCGTGAAGCCGAGGCCGGCGCCGGCGCCGCACTCGTCGGCGGCGCCCGTTCCCGGGAAGAAGTTGCCGTCGTCGTGGCGGTGCAGCGACACGTAGAGCACGCCCGGGTCCTCGTAGAAGGCCTGCTGCGTTCCGTTGCCGTGATGCACGTCCCAGTCGACGACGAGCACGCGCCGCAGACCGAGCCGCAGCCTCAGCTGGCGCGCAGCGATCGCCACGTTGTTGAAGAAGCAGAAGCCCATCGCCTGGTCGGGCTCGGCGTGGTGGCCCGGCGGCCGCACGACGGCGAACCCGTTGCGTAGCTCATTGCGCGCCGTGCGCAGCGCCAGGTCGAGCAGCGCGCCGGCGGCGAGCCGAGCGGCGGCCGGCGTGTGCGCCTCGCTCCAGGGCGTGTCGGCGTCCACGCCGAGGCCGCCGCACGCGAGGCGCACGAGCCGCAGCGCGCGCCCGCGCGGCTCTTTGGCGTCTCGGCCTCGGCCGGCGAAGGCCGCCACGTGCGCCTCCGAATGCACGCTCGCGAGCTCGTCAAACGTCGCCTTGCGCGCGCGCGTGCGCTCCGTTCGCGCTGCGAGGCCCGTCTCGCAGAGGCGCGCCCAAACGGACTGCAGGCGGCCGCCGTGCTCGGGATGCGTGGGCGCGTGGGCGCCGCACGAGCAGCCGTGCTTGAGCATGAGGGCGTCGTAGGCGAGCCCCGTGGGCGGCTGCCGCGCCCCCACCAGCGGCGAAGAGAGGGCGCGAGCGAGGGGCGCGGCGGCGAGGGGCGGCGGCGGCGGAGCGGGAGGCGCGACCGGAGGGACGGGGCAGGGCTTCCTCGTGAGATCGATCACCTCGCCCTCCTCCTCTCGCAGTTGAGCGGCGGCCGCGTCGTGCGCGCGAGTCAACACCTGCGGAGTGTACATTTCTGTTCACTTGGAGGTAGAGAGAGAGAGAGAGAGAGAGAGAGGGAGGGAGACGTTTAAAATTACTGTGTCTAGGGTCTGTAGAATCCAATTTTTTTTACAGAGACTTAGCAAAACCAGGTTAACCGTTGGCCTAGGAGGAGTTGTGGAAGAACGTGAAGGCTTATCGCCCAAATGATGGCGGTCGGCGAACTCACCGTCTTCCTGATTTGGTCGCGCAAATAGTGATGCGGCAGATGCGGATGCAGCGCGGGGTCTCCGAGGGGCAGAGGCGCCGAGTGCGTGCGCCCCAGGGGCCTCTTTGCCAGGCGCGCGCTCAGAGCTGCGGCGCCGCAGTAGGGCTCCGACTCGCAGAGCGGCGGCAGCGCGGGCGGCGGCGCGGGCGGGGGGCAGTGCGCCGCTAGGGGCCGCCCCAACGAGATGTTGGGCAGCGACGGCGACGAGAAGAGCGGCTCCGGCGAGCGACCCGTCTCCTCCTCTTCGCGGATGGGCGTGCTGCTGCCCACGGCGCCCGGTGGCGAGCCTCGCGGCGACCCCGCTTCGCAGTCTGCGCGAAAGAACAGTCGTGAGCCACGAGCGATACACGCGGACGAAAGCGGGGCTCCGTACTCACTGCGAGGCTTCGGGCGCGTCTTGAGGGGGCGGCGGGCCAGCGGCGACGCTCGACGCTCGATGACCCTCGCCTTCAGCCGCACCTTCAGCATGTTGGGCTCCGACGCTACACACACATGCGGTCACTAGCGCTACGCACACGCACACACACGCGCTCGGCTCTCGCCGACTACGAGATTAGTTCACGCACATTTATTATTTTAATATTGAGACTCAAAATCATGCTTACGTTTATTATGACTACTTATTAGTATTCGTCGGAAACTAGCGGTTTTAGGACATCTTGACGTTCGGTACTCACCGGTTTTTCTGAGCGGGTAGTCGGGCGCGGCGGGCACGGGAAGCGTGAGCGGCAGCGGAGCGGCCAGCGGGGCGGGCAGACGGTATGGGTGCGCCCCCGCCGCGGCGCCCGACGGCATCGACTCGCCCGACGACGACTTCACGATGCCCCTGCAAAGAAATTCACCAAAGTCGCCTTAAAGTAATATTTCATCCACGAAATGTGGTGAAACAGAGCGCTACACTCACCAATTCCTATAGGGCGAGCCGGGCAACGCGCCGTTGGCTGTGGCGGCCGCCTGTTTCTTCTTCAGAAACTCCTGAAACAGCCGATAAAACCGTCACCGTCGCTCTCACTTCTACTCGACACGCTTCTCGAGTTCGTCCTCGAACTCACCTGCAGCTTCTGCTTGACCTGCGTGGAGGCGGTGGCGCAATGTTCGAGCTTGTCCTTCTTGCGCAGGTCCCCTCTCTCGCGAACGTCACGCGCTTCCCTCGCTTCCCTCGCCTCCCTGGCCTCTCTGGCCTCCCTCGCCTCGCGCAAAGCCGCCTCCTCCATCGCCTTCTGTTGCTCCCATAACTGAAAGACGTAGGACCTATGATTATTGGCTCCGACGGATCGATACGAAGAGACTATTCGAATCAAATAAAACTGCCTACTGATTCGCTACCATCATCTAGTTCAGTGGGTGTTTCGGGTGTATTGTTTACTTCAAATGACAACACACACACAGCACAGCCTAATCTAAAAGAAGAGTAAGGACAGTACAAGAGGTAATTCTTTTTTATTTTATTTAACATGCGCTTATAAAAGCTTCAGCTAAGTTCAGTGAATGTAAACTGTTCGGTGTATTTCTGTCCCGTCGTGCGAATATTTCCGGCGCACTGGACGCGATGCCAAAATATCCACGAATACCGAGGCGCTGCGTTCGACATGTTACAGCCGATAAATCAGCGAGTTATCAAACGGCGTTTAATGGACGCCATAAATAGATTATAGCTCTGTTATTTCAGGCGTCATGTACCAAACTAGTCTAAATCAGTTCTGACGGCGTAAAATCCATATTATTGCATATTAAGTATAACCTGGACAAAACGACTGCGATGGGAGAATGGCAGGTCTCTATAAAGTTTCTTTTGCGTGAATGTGTTATAAAATTAGATCTTTTAATGGTTCGTACGTAGAAACATAGTGGCTTGCATGATAAGAAAGAAGATATTGTGTTTTATCTTCTGGAAGAATAAAACACCACATGTATACCACGTCATATACGTGAGTCGCCGATAGTGTAATAGATAGATATATAATAAATAACTCTCTAAAAGCGAAAGAGATACGAACAAGCTGTTTTGAATCCAAGGAATTTGAGCTCGTTACCTTTAAATGATGCCTGATCTGCTGCTCGTGCTGCTCGGCTAGCTGCTGCCGTTGCTGCTGGAAGTGCTGCAACAATATCTCTTGCTGTAACTGTTGCTGCTTCTTCAACTGGAAGGCAAAAAACGTACATAAAGTGCCCTCCGCCCACTGTACCACTTCATCCACGACATCCGCGACTAGCGAGCCAACAACAGAACACAAAAAGAGATGAGTTAATTATGTTATTTCCACTCACGAACGCTAGCATTACTTAGTTACATTACACTGAAAATTCATAATATTTAAGAGAGAGGCTCGAACACGGCTCAGTGGAACGAACACAACACAGTGCCGTGTCGAGGTGGTTATGGACAAAAACATCAACAGGCGAATTGGTATTACCTGCGCAACTTTGGTGTCTCAACCTGTCGGTTCAGAACAAGGTTTCTCTACATAAGGTGCGCAAGTAGTGAGTGCGAAGGGAGGAGGGGAAGCCGTGGTAAGGTAAATGACTCACTTGCAACAGGAAACTATTCTCTAATGTCTGTTTGGCCCTCTCCGCGATATGGTTCTTTCTGGGACTGTGACTCTGACAACGAGAGGAAACACACAATGAAACGTCTCCTATAAAAGTAGAGAGCGGCCAGAATATCTCTGCATTGATCCGAGAAGCGAGCACGAGGGCAAATAAATTTGGCATCGCGGAGGTTATTTTGGTTTGTTAAAAAGAGATTGTCGGAATGTTCCCGGAATAGCAGTGCGCGTGTTTATTAGCGGCGCAGTTGTGTGCCAGCTGCCCGCTTCCGGAGAATATCTCGAGTTATCAATTAAATTGCAACAAAAGCTTCCCAGAGGCCATATATTATGTATACGAGTGCACCCCCGCTGCACCTCGACGGATTATGGGCAGAAGACGGCAGAATGTTATTATTGTATATTTTATAGATCATTTATATAACTCTCTGGTATTTTTAAAAATACCGGGTCAAAGCGAATGTTCGCCGTCCTCCGCACGACTAACTGACCCGCCCTTTCCCTCGACACCGATGCATCACTGGAAAAGCTGGCACTTCTGCTTTTTGGGACAATTTAATTATTTAGCAAATGTATTCGTCCGATCTTCCGCTTTCTTTATAACTGGCTTTCGTTTCTACTTCCATAGTCCTTATTAAGCGCCTGGTCCTACGTTTCGTTTCTAGGCAAATTACATCAAGATTCAGAGATCGGTCTGTGGCTCTCGGGAATCTGCAGTCCATATAGATTATACCGTTTAGGGAGCAACCAGGGTGTGAAAATGCCAAGAGAGGACGGTACCTGCATAATCTGGTGGTGAAAGGAAGAGTCGGGCGGCGCTCGCGGCGGGGACGGCGAGCGGCCCGTGCCCCCGCCCCCTTCCGCACCGCCGTTATCCCGCGACATCTCTGCAAAACACAATTTATTTACATATATAAATGTATACCAATTTTGAGTAATTTGGGAATGAACCAATGATGTGACACTGTGGGATATCGTGTAAGAATACGTGTGTGCTACGCAAAAAAAAGTATTGATCGAGAACATCAAAAAGATTAACCATAATTATTAATAAGTGTTCTCTTTAATAATGGTTGGGTTATCATTGAAATAACTGGTTGTAAAAATACATCAATGTATTAATATTGTTGTAACAAGATCACGTGTGCGGTGTGCCGGCAGCCACTCTGGTGGATTGGAGAAAATACCACTTCTTTATTTTTGTATCATTATTACTGTTAAAAAGTAATTTGTTTTATTTTTAACTTAACGATGGGCACAATGATTAAATGTAAACATCCTTTATTTTGTAATAGCGTTAATCAAGTTAAGGATATAAATATCTTGCGACCGTTTTAGCTCGATCTAGATCCAGTGTTAGCCAGCTAAACGTGACCTCGATCAGAAGGGTGTCGGATGTGGGAGGGGGGGTGGGGGGAAGGGGAAGGTGTCTTCCCTCTCCCCCGCGCAGGGGTCTGGCAAATTATATTTAGAAGGTCTAAATTTAGAAAAGAGTCGGCCTGTAGTCCTGCGTCCTTCGTATGATCCGTTTCGACTATGTTGTCGATATTGAAAATGGTACTATTTATATAGCATCTATGTAACATACATACGTATAACAATATTGCAAACCCGATACCTTTCAATTTTTTAAAAAACATTTTTAAGCTTTGATTCCTAATTCCTGAACTTTAATTTTTAGAAATTCAATGAACAACCAGAGTAAAAAAGCAAAAAGTTACTATTTAGTATAAGATCCCGCTATACAACGACCTTCACCGAGATGCTTATTTAATGAAACTTATTTTATATTTAATTTAATATGTCAATAAATATAATCCATATGGGTTGCCTAGCAAATTTCAGTCCAGTATTTTAATTAATATTAAAAAAAATATATTTTTTTAAACATTTCACCGGTATGATTATTAGATAAATTCTATACCAATCGAAAGTATAAAGCCCATAGAATATGCAAACGTTAGGTTGTTTTTAATCAATTAATTATTTATGTGTATATTTTTTATGTGACACTAAAGTATATAATTATACATCTTTACTATAAAAGAAGGTTATATTGATACATATATAATACTACCCTGATTAAAAATATTGATTGAAAAAAGTTCAAAAAATTTACTACATGCAAATTATAAAAAACTTTTTTTTTTAAATATTAATTAAACATACTCTGGACTTAAATTTGCTAGACAACCCATATGGATTATATTTATTGACATATTAAATTAAATATAAAATAAGTTTCATTAAATAAGCATCTCGGTGAAGGTCGTTGTATAGCGGGATCTTAGACCAATTTGACACGTGTCGGCCCTGACAAATAATTAACTGTATTAGGAATTACGTATATTTATTTGTATGTAAATGAGGCACATTAATAATTCAAGCCGACGCGTGGCGTAATTTTGTTACCATCATTTACCGAAACAGTTCAGGTAGGTCCATTGGGTCAGCTCACAACAGCAAGTGAGACCGTGCCCAGTCTTCGACGTAATTATATGTATAGGCCGGTAATTTCCCAGCAACCACTACGACAATAAGGACTTATGAAAGGTCAAGCGAGAATAAATGGTATTATATAATTGTGGGAAACGAAGTAATTAACACCCAGGCGTAGGTGTGCCGACGGCGACCTTGTAGGTTGTTGCTTTAATATCATTCATATTTTAATTCATTCAATTAAACACTTCGCTGAAATTGGATAAATCTGAGTAGTCCCGTTAACCTCAATTGCGTTGCCCATGAGCTGCGTCAGCCCAAATAGCAAATATTCGTCTATACAGTATACACCGTTCTATCGCCACATCGTTTCACCATAAGGTGGAACTATTTCACGTGAAATCGTATCTTTTCACGCTCGCATTTAAATCAAAAGTCCAAGAAAGATTACATCAAAGAATTTGGAACCAATTAAAAATGAAAGTCGACCAGTTCCAGAAGCTTTCAGATGAATATGTACATTAAGGAGGCCGCCGAGAGCTAGTACTGAATAAAATCAAAACTATTGAATCGAATTAACAAAATATTTAAGCATTAGGATTTATTTTATTTATCTATAAGTTATCTTACAGCTACACATATCCATATTATCAAAGAAAACACTTACACAATATACAAAGCCAAAACAGGTTATATTGTTAAACAAAATATACGAAACAGATAAAGTAAGTCAATTAATAGATAAAAAGAAGAAAACTGAAATTAAACATGAAACAAACTACAACTTTATATTTTAAAGAAAGAAGAAATTGTTTTTCCTGCGAAGGAAAGTCAAAGTCTTCCCGCTTCCTCAATATTTCCTCACATCCTCTTTGGTAAGGTGGAAAATGTCTACATTTTCATTAATTATATTGTAGTTAGCTAAAACCCAATACATTGGCGAATTACGCAGATGATTCATGTTTTTAAATGAAGATCTCTATATATATTTATTTATTCTCAGGGGTTCTTTTAAGGGCGTAATAAACAAACAAGAAATTAATCTTTATCACGATTAATATAAAAATAGAAAGTACGACAAGTGAAGGACGCGGCGGCTCGAGCCTCTGCTCCGTCCTTCTCTTAGAGTAACTCGGAGCGACAGAGACGCACGAACATATCGAGAACTATAAATAGAAGGTGGGCGAGGCCTCCAGCTTTACGGTTGTGAAAACATGTTAAATTTGCGACCAATGCTCGGCTTTGTTTCAGAGAATCGAATACAACAAACTTCTATTTCCGTTGCAATGTTAATTACATCACTCTCGAGATGTCATACATAGGGGAAACACCATTGGGTGACCGCGTGACCTGTCCCAGCGGCGACGTGACACCGTTGTCGTCTAATGAGGATTATTAAACAACATTGAATGATACGAAGGAAACTATGAATTCTCTTATTCAGCTTTTAAATACCTTTGTCTGTATTAGCCATTCAAACTCCTAAAAGGTCATTTAAACTGAAGTGAAACTTATGCAATTACCACTACATCTTGGATTTTATCGTAACAAATTTAGTTTATTTATTTCCTGATAAAAATGTATCTCCATAGGATGTTACGTACATCTCTATTTATCTATGCAAAGTGACAGGTGAGTTGAATCCATGTCATGCAGATCGAGGTTGTAATGGCTACTGGGGGCCTACCATGAACTTTCTTAAAAAGATCCAGTTGAGATGCTGATGAGTTTAGGTACCTAAAGTCAATAGCATTTTTTCGTACCATGACCGCCTTTAAGCTGAAACGTATTAGCATCGCAAGACCGAATGAAAGAACGATAAATTTGTTTGAGTATGTACTTGTATGAGTTTATGTACTTTTTGAAATTTAACTGTCAAACTTGCTTCGACTGATGTTTCTATAAAAATAAATGAAATATAAAATTAAAACGTTTACTTCAAATTTTGATAGGAGCTTTCAATATTTTGGTGTTTACAAAATTTCGGTTTTATAAATATAGTTTTACAAATTGTTTAACTTATAAAATAATGGTATGGGGTAAGTATTGTTCACAAATTTGTTTATTAAAAATAAATACCTATATCGAAGTGAATTCCTGATATAAAACTCTTGCATTATATTGCACGATATTACAATCAACTTATTACTCGAAAATCATAATAAAAATTGATTCCTTCAAATTGTACAAATTCAGTTTATACGTTAACTAATTCATATACATAATATAAATAATCATATTTTCTTTACAGCTTAAACTCGCTGAATTGAGAGAATGAAATATATGAATATATGTTTATATCCAATTGGACATTGCCTGATTCAAGACAAGACAAGACATCTTTTTCTATCTTGATGGAGTCATCCTAACTAAATAAATACTGTTATTATAATACTTTCAAATGGCTTATTATTTACACATTATAAATTTGAAAAACACCTCTGTTTTTTTAAACAACAAAAAGCAGAGGAGAATAATACAATTCATGAACATAATGAGGAAAAATTTAATTGTAAATATGATGTATTGGGGAATTATGTTTTTGTTAGACATGTCTAAATAATTAATTGAATATTATTGAAAAGATTGTGCAATTATTTGTAGGTACACGAATCAAAATCGTTAATCTATAGCAAATTTTTATAAACTCGATATCTACGAAGTCGGTAGTGGCGTCTTGTTTCTCATCTCCGTCGATATTTTAATAATTTATTTATAATCACACTTTCTGAACTCAAAATACCCCAAAATATCGGATATATAAAAATTATATTTTTTTCCCCTATATTAGCCATAGTAGATACATCTTATTATTTTAACTTTATTAACAAGTTTTAATTCAAATATTGAATTTTATAGGTTCTAAACTATTATTTGGACATTTCGATACAAAAAAGTTGAACAAAAAGTAACTTTTTTAGAATCGCTTATTCTGTCATTGTTTAGTGGCAAAAATGTCAAATTTTGGTTCAGCCGAGCGATCATGGTACGAATTTTCATACAAATTGAACGAACGAAATCTGATAACCGCTAAGGTCACGTGGGAACATAAACTGTCTCGTTTTTTCGATGTCATGGTACGAATTAGCGATGCATCTCAGACTAGCAGATATTTATTATAATTAAATTTTTCCTCACTATGTTCATGAATTGTATTATTCTGCTCTGCTGCGTTTCAAAAAACATAGGTATTTTTAAATTTATAATGTGTAATTAATAAGCCATTTAAAAATATTATAATAACAGTATTTATTTAGTTAGGATGACTCCATCAAGATAGAAAAAGATGTCTTCAGGCAATGTTCAATTGGATATAAACATTTATTCATATAGTCTCTCAATTTAGCGATTTTGTCAGGTTAAGCTTTAAAGAAAATTATTATTCTAGCCTCTTTATTTCCATAATGAATAACATATTAAACAAGTATATCATATGATTAATTATT